TATCATGATCCCAATCCTACCTTACAAATCTGGCTAGACCAGAGGATGTACACTGGTACAGATAGCAACTGGAAACTCAGGGAATTCAGGACAGATGACTCCTTCAGGGCCAATGGTAAAAGGGGCGAGGCCTGGAGGGTGAAGGGAATGTGAGGTCGAAAGGGGGAACCGATTATAAGAATCTAGGTATTGCCTCCTCCCTGGGGGAGGGACAGCAGAGAAGAGGGCAGGGGGAGACGTCAGACTGTAACTTATGACAAAACTATAATAACTTGTGAATTATGAAGGGTTCATGGGGGGCGGGGGAATAAGCAGCTGAGGTGGAGGGCAAATGTTTTGAAAATGATGAGGGCAGTGAATGTCCATATGTGCTTGACACAATGGATGTATGTATGGATTGTGATGAGAATTGTACGAGCCCCCAATAAAATAATTTTTAAAAAGATTATCAGAAAGAGTTATAAAATATTAATGAAAAAAATTTTAAATACCTGACAAAAAACCTAAAACTGCTATTTAGGAGATTTCCATACTGCTGCTTGATTGGCTTTCTCACTTGCAGTAGGCTTCACTTTATCCGAGCATCACTGGCTGTGTGATCTGTCCTTAACCATCTTTTCACTATAGGAGCAGGATCCCATTCCTTCAGAGATAGACCAATTAGACTGTCAGTATCCATTGCGTTTGATATAAGTTAGAAACAGGCGACTTCTCTGAATATATTATGTTCATCTTTGAGAAAAAAACAAACAACCCTGTCCATTTCTGCTGAATGGACAGCAATTGTTCTGACAATATTTTTTGAGCTTTGGACACTTTTAGGAATTGCATATTTCACTCAACATCTTGTGGGAATTTGGGGGTATAAAACAACGCTGAAACAAATGATAGTGCCCTCCTCTGGTTGGCACACTTTCCCTCTTTACCTTATAGGTGTTTATTGTTGTTTGAAGTAACAAACAAATGAAATGAATAAATAAATAAATGTTACAAGCATAGTTCCGTCTAACTTTTTCGACTGGTTGAAAAAAGATTGTTGAAAAAGAGTAAGGAAGGTAAGTTTGTGATACCGACATTGGGCAGCTGCCACCTTAGAAACAACCCTGATTGCAAGTCCCATTTTAACAACCAATTCCCTGAACTGAACAAAATATTAGCTATCGGTACTGCCAAACCAGTGTGAATTGGCTTAATCCCACCACTGGTTCTAATACATGACTGCTGTTACTAATTCAAGTTTAACGGGAATCTTTACTTACGTATAATGTGATAGGTTTCTCTTACTTAGTCTTGCTAGCCCTGGGTCTACAATTCTCCAAAAATGATTTAATTGGGTGTGTTAGTCATGGTCAACTTCGAGACACAAATCCAGGACACTTGCGTATAAGAAAGAGCTTTATATCAAAGAGTAATTGCATATTAAGAAAACAGCCCAGCCTAGTGCAGATCAAGTCCATAAGTCTGATATTAGCCCATATGTCTGATACCAGTCTATAATTTGCTCTTCAGACTCACTCAACACATGCCAAATACAGGAAGATCACTGGCCAGTGGGTGGAAAGTCTTGTGGATGCAATGGCGGTGGAAGCATCTCAGCGCTGGGCTGGGTAGCCTTGTGGCTCCTCCACCTCCAGGGCTCTGGTTCCGTCAGGGGTCTCCTTGTGGCTTGTCAGCAGGAAGACAAGCAGAGTGTCTATGCACCGCCTCCTGGGAGGAAGACAGGAGTTCCCAGAATCCTCAGGAGAAGACCAAGCTCACAGAGGCCTCATTGGTTTTGGCCTGATTGACAGGCTAGACTCCACTCCTTCACTAGTTGACAGGAGATTATGTAACTGCCACATTGGGCTACAATCTGATAAAGGGAGGTTGGCAAATATCTGGCCTGTGGGCTGTATAAGGGCCAAGAAATCATCAGTATCAGCCACCATCACTTCATCAAAGAGAAGCAGTTCTAGCTCTCACATCAGAGGTGAGTTAATTAAATATTTGACCGAGTATATAGCAGGCTGATCCTTAAGTTGGTCATTTTGTATGACTTGTGAATGATGGTATAAATAGCCAAATGGCCGTTGGCAGAAGAACAGCTACCCACCCCTGCTCTAGAAGGATTGGTTGGCTTTCTGTCCACAGAAATGGACTTTAAGGATTTATTTGTGACTTACCTGGAGGATTAGCTAGGGACCCACACAATCTGACCTTTACCCAGGTTTGTTAAGGAGCCCCACCTATAAACTAACCTCGGATTGGTTAGTGAGCCTGCCATGTAATTGACACAGAGTAGATAGGCTGCTTATAGAAACCCCGGACCCTGAGGGCAGAGTGATCCTGAGAAGAGTCTCCCAGAGAAAGATCCAGCAGTGAGCTGAGTGTGCAGCTGCCCTGGCTGAGGAACTTTCACTTCCTCAGTGACCTTTCCTATGTGTCTTTTTTCTGCAGTTGTATTGGAAGGTTCTGGAATTTGTCCCTGAGTTGTATCTTGTTATTTCTGAGTTGTTCATCCAATAAATCACATTAACAGTATAGTCTATGAGTTCTTTTGAGTTCTGTCATAATTATTGAAAGCATCAGAGAAATAGTCAAAGAACAGAGACGTGAGCACACAGGGATATTTGACCTCCTCATAGGAACCAACCTTATGCCGAGTCTACTTCTCGAGGATATCCGAATACTGAGCTACAAGAGGAAGTAGAGAGCATAGTGCTGGTGTTAGGAGCACTGGAACCAGACTGCCTAAGTCTGGCTTTGCCATTAATTGTGGCAAGCCTGTGGGCAAGTCAACATCCCTGAGCTGCATGTCTCCACCTGCAATGTCAAAATGGGGATGACATTTGTGAGGGTTAAAGTGTTAGAGCATAAAGAGCAAACAAATCTGATCTTGGAAAAAGTATAGCCAGAATGCTACTTAGAGTCAAGGATGGGGAGACTTAATCCTGCGGACTCTGGACGTACATGTTAGCAGGTGGGATAAGTCCCCTGGAGAATGCTTACTGGTCTGATAGAAACTGGTGGAACTCCTGAGGCTATGCCCCTCAGCCACCTTTCAGGGCTGGAACTGAACTCACCCCCATGGATCAATTTTCAGAAAAACAATAGACTATATGGGGAACAGTATACACTCCTTAGAATAATCAACCATTTGAGATCAAGAAGGCAGCATTTGCCCAGGAATACAACTCAGAATGTAGGAATGGATGAAAAAGAAGGATGATCCTGACAAAGAAAAAGAACGAGAAAAAGAAAATGCTATAAAAAAGAAATGAAATGGGTAACCTTTCAGCAGAACCAAATGAGATTTTAAAAATCACAGTATTATGAAAAATTGTATTCCAACAAATTTGAAAATCTAAATTCTAGAAATGCATTATTTATCTAAATTACCACAGACTGATATAGAATATCTCAACATGCCTATAACACCAGAAGAAATAGATCGAGTCAAAACAAAAACAAAAACAAAAACCTCCCAACATTAAAAAATCAGGGACCAGATGGTTTCACTGGGGAATTCTATCAAATATGCAAAGATAGTTTAGTATTCAAAAAACAACCAATGTAAGTCTCCACATAAATAAGAACCATATGATCATATCAATGGGTACAGAAAAGGCATTTGATAAAATTCAACATCCATTTCTGATAAAAACACTCAACCAAATTGGAATAGAAAGGAAATTCTTAAATTGTTTGACATAATACAGGTGATATATGCAAAACCAATGGCCAGCATCTCACATAATGTAGCGTAGCACCACTTTTATATAGTCCTGAAAGTTTTATCTAGTGCTATAAGACATCAAAAAGATATTAAAGACACCTACATAGGCACAGAAGAAACAAAAATCTTTAGAGAGGATATAATTCTATATATATATATATGTATATATATATACATGATTCAATGTCAAAAGTCAATTAAAAGATGATGATACTGGAAAAGATATTAAAAGAACAATACCATGTACAGGAGCTACACAAACGACAAGATATTTAGGAATAAATCTTGCCAGAGAAACAGAAGACGTATAGAGAACAAAAAACCAAAACTATGAAACACTCCTACAAGAAACCAAAAAAAAATTCACACAAATGGAACAAGCTACCATGATTCTGTATAGGTAGATTAAACCTTGTGAAAATGTCAATATTGCCAAAAACACTTTATAAATTCAATGAAATTCTGATCCATTTTATACCACAATTTCTCAAAGAAATAGAAAAACTAATCACCAACTTTATATAGAAAGGAAAGTAACTGAGAATAAATAAAACACTTTGAAAATAAAAACAAAGCAGGGGACTT